TACCTCCTTTACCCCTTGAAGGTGGCCACCCCCAAAGATGGCTGCCCCTTCCCGGGACTTCCTCGCTCAGGATTCATGGGTCCACTCTCTTTCCTAGTGCTTTCCCTACAGCGATTGCAGTTCTGGGCTTTGGGGTTGCCATGGGACGTGCACTGGGTGAGGACAGGAACCTGGCTGTGTACCCAGGTCCCCCCACCCCACCCCAGGATGGTTCTCTGCACACAGAGGGTAGGGTGAATGACTCAGGTGGCTGAGACGCACGAAGGAGCTTTCGAAAGAGCTGGGGTAGGAGGGAAAACAGGGCTGTTATGAGCTTCCAACTTCTAAAGTGCTCTGAGAGTGGGGGACACCCAGATGTGTGAGACCCAGAGAATTCCTGGGCTAACAGTGGCTCACTAACCTCATGCACAAAACACTTCATAAGAAAATTGTCACTCAAGCACTAGGAGAGAAGGGAGCTTCTCTTGTGCCTTGCATACAAAGCAGGGGGTTATTTTTAAACTGTAGCTCCTGGGTAGTGTTCCCTCCAGTCTCCCTCCTCCCATCCTAGCCCCTAGCAGCTTCTTTCTGTGTGGTGGCAGAAACTTCATTGACTGGTGGGAAGGCCGGGAAACTGCCTTTGTGATGGGGCGGGGTGGGAGCCAGATCTGCAAGCCTCTGAAAGACCACTGCTGGGTCCCCAGGAATCCTGGTGGCATTTACTCCCATCAGTGGAACCCCGATTCTTGACTGTTTACAGAGTACTCAAAAGCTGACGGAATGTTCTCCTGTGTCTTTTTAGTACTACTACTAACACCAGTAATTCTAGCCACCAGATGTGGGGGGTTTTCCCACATGGACTGATTCTCTGACACCAGCTGGGTGTCCTGCAGTTCAACTCAGTTCTGACACTAAGCGCCTACATCTATCTGATCACGCAGGTTACAGGCTCGATCCCACAAGACTGCCCCCACTTCAGAGGCCAGTTACAAGTAGTAGGTCCCCAGGTTACCCACACTTCTGTCTGACTTGGCTACAAATAAGGGGTTCCCACACGGCCTCCTGAGGTTTAATGATTTGCTAAAATAGCTCATAGAACTCAGGGAAACACATACTTAGGTTTACAGGTTCATTCTATATTAAAGGATCTAATAAAGGACACAGGTGAACTGCCAGATGCAGAGGTATGTAACGTGAGGTCCAGAACTGTCTTGAGCATAGGCGCTTCTGTCCCTGTGGAATTAGGGTGGGACACCACCCTCCTGGTACCTGGATGTGGTCACAAACCTGGAGGCTCTCTGAACCCCCTGGTTTAGGGATTTTTTATGGCGTCTTCATCATATCAGCATGATTGATCATTATTAACTCCATCTCCAGGCCCTCCCCCTTCCCCAGAGGTTGGGGTGGAGGGGTGGGGCTGAAAGTCATGAGCTTCTAATCATGGTCTAGACTTTCTGGTGACCAGCCCCCATCCTGAAACTATGCCGGCATCCACCAAGAGTTGCCTTGTTAGAAGAGGCTCCTGTCACCCAGGAAATGCCAAGGGATTTAGGAACTCTGTGTCAGGAACCAGAGCCAAAGACCGAATATTGTAACAGAGGTCCTCCTAGCCTCCCTGTCACTTAGGAAATTACAGAGGTTTTAGGCTCTCTGGCCAGGAGCCAGGGACAAAGACCAGAACACACATTGTTCACTGTGTCACAGTGATGTAAGTGTTCTAAATGGTTGTGCACGGGCTGTAGCTCCTTCCCCTTTGGTTTATCAGCCACCATGCAAGACAGCATCTCCATCTCACAAATGAGCAGAGGCAGAGAAGGTATAGTGCAGCCCCCGGTCACACAGCCAGGAGGGCTCAGCTGCCGAGGAAGCAGAGGAGAGGGCTGAGCGAGTTGGAGGCCTGACCCCCAGACCTTTCTTTGGGCACCAGTGGCATTGGAAGCCCAGAGCTCCATTAGGAGGAGCCCTCTGCCCTCTGTTAGGGGCTGTCCAGGGTCGTGCAGGCTGGCCCTCCAGATGCTCAGGATGTTCTAAGCGAGGTGTTTAGGAAGCAGGGCTGACTTCACCATTCAGCTGGTGGGAGGCCTAAGAAGAACCTTCACACAAAACACATTTTTCCAGAACTTCTGTCTCCAGCCTGTCAGTCAGTGTTGGTGGCCTCAGGCAGTTGTAATGGCTGCCCAGTGGTGGTGTGGCTAGTCCTTGAAAGGAAAGGGGCTCCAAAGATTTATTCATCTGCCATGGATAATAATGGCTTCATATGCACAAAACCCACTTTACTGTCTGCTTCAAAAGGCCCACTGAAATTCCTCTCTGAATGTTCTGTGTCGGGCGTAAGAGCTCTTTAAGAAATGCAATTTTGTTATGGCAGTCTTTCAGGCTTTGCTAGTCTACTAGCTCAAGCCATTGTTAATATCCACAGGCTGCCTAAGAAATAAGATTGCTCTGTACAAAGGAAGTTATACCTGGCTCCAGCCGAGGAAGGGAAAATAGAAAAATTTCTTCTGATGGGAGAAAATCTAATCATGCCATAGAAGTGACGCATTCAGTGAGAAGATTTTAGGGGGACAGTGGGAGTCAGGAGACATGAGTTTTATGTTAGTGTTATCACTAACAAGCTGTGTGACCTTGGGCAAGTCACTTAGCATCTCTGGGCTTACAAAGAGTTTGGACCAGATCAGCAACTTGCAACATACTTGACTGACCCACAGTAGTATGTTTTACAGGGCCATGCCAAACACACAGATATCCACATACAGATAGGCACATAGATAGCCAGAACAAATGTTTCACAGAATAGGACTTGTCCTCCCACCTAAAATGCGCTTGGATATTTTCCATGCATGTCTGGTTTATTCTCACCAAAAAGCTGGTCCTGACCCACTCAATTAATTTCACAAGTCTTGGCAACCTACCCTTTGAAAAACCCTAACCAGACAGTCTGTGAAATCCCTTCCAACCGGAGATTTCCCTTATTCCCTGCTGATGTGTGAGATGCAGCAGCAGAGGCCAGGAGCACCGGAGTTTGAAAAGGCAGATTGAATGGCCCCCATCGCCTGGCCTGTCTAAGCCAGATTGGCTCAAGGGTCTGCAAGGACTAACTTCCAGGAAGGCCTTCTGCCTCCTGTTAAATGAAGATGTGTACGGGTTAAGAATGAGTGTTTAAAAAAAACCCAGCCAATTTCTTAAAGAAAAAAATTAGTCTTTTTAAAGTACTTATAGAAGGAGAATCCATGGGTCTTCATCTCTGGGATTGACTGACCTCGGACAGCTGATAGATAGCCTTGTGTTTCTGGAACATCATTTGCAATTTAGGGAAACACTGGTATCTTGGCAGGTGTGTGGGCCCTTCCTCAGACCACAGACCTGGAGCTGAGGCCCAGGAATTCCGAATGTTGCAAAGCCCCTCCAAGCACAGCTGCTCCCGGGAACCTTAAAGTCTGGAGATCACCTTGCTTTCTAGGCCCTCAGAAAGAGACCCCGGAGTAAATGAGTCAACAGGCTGTTAGACCTCCTGGGCCCCACTCAGAAGCAAGTTCCCGCAGTAGCAAAATGATGCCGCAGCCCATTCTCCTTAGCAAACACCTAGGTTGTGCGGAGAGGGGTTTACGTGTTCTCCGCGGCTTGCGAGTTTGTAGCATCTCAAGGCTGCCACCAGATGGCGGTGTTTGCCCAGACAAGGAGCCTTCTAGGGGCTCGAAAAGTAATAGGAGTCATTTACAACTAATACCAGTGGTAGACGGGCATCTGGGAGGTGACTGGTCTTTGAAGGTCATCCAGCAAGTCTGTGCCTTGTCACCAGGCATTGGGCACTGAGGGTTCTGTTACTCTTCCCATTGGGGAAGGGGTGCTTGCCCCACGCCAGCTCTGGCTGGACGCTGTGGACAAAGCTGTGGCCAAGCCAGTGGGGCGTCTGCTGTCTTGGAACTCCCAGTCACGTGTAATCGGCCATTCAGAACTAGGGACACCTAAGTCCTCGAGCTCTCCAAAGGAAAACGTCACGTAGCAAGAGTCTGGTGGGAAGGAAAAGGGCAGAAATGACAGAGTTGGGAGGTCATCTGCTAGCCAGGGACGTGAGCTGTGCTTCCTGGAGGCACTTCTGGAACTTCCTGGAGGCAGAGGGACCCTGGGAGGCTGAGTCAGGGTGGGAGCAGGACCCCGCGCACCTGTCATCTGGTCTCTAGTCTGTTACCTTACTTTGACCACAGCAGGTTTACATGATCTGTTTGATCAGTTTTCTTAACAAATGTATCTCATGGTCATGCTAAAAAAAAAAAAAAGTAGAAGTTCTCCTTCAAAAGGGAGTAGAAAGTGAATGAGGGAAAGAATAATGAGGAAAAAGCTTGAAAACCTGCTGTGACCCAGCTCCTTTCAGAGCATACAGTACGTTCCCTGGCCCTCGGGGTTTGGTCGCTTCCCTCTCGTGGGAGGTAAGTGTGCCTGTCTCCATGCAGACCAGCAAGGGGGCGAAACTTTCCCTGGGCCAAGCTCAGGAATGGGCGCCTGTGCGTTCCCCCCGGAACCTCAGGTAGTTCCCACCAGGGGTTCAAGCTTTGGACCATGTCCAGTCCAGATGTGTCCCACCTCAGCACCTGGCATAGAGCAGTTGTTCAGTAAATAGAACTGTCCTGAGCTCACCTAATTAAATGGCACCTGTGCAGCAGTCACTGTGCGAGATGATGGCTTGATTTCTGTACCCAGAAATCTCCCAGTTTGGAAAGGAAGAGAGACAGACACCTGAGCAGAGCCCCACAAGAAGCTGTGGGAGCTCAGAGGGGGGAGAAGGCAGCCAAGAAGGGACTGGGAGAGCCCCAGATGCTAACCTGTCCACCTGTTGGTGTGAGCACTGGGGCCTAGCCCACTAAGGGGACTTCCTAAACAGAAACCTGATGAGCCACTGGCCTTTAACCTTCCTGTTGGGCGGGCCAGGCCACTGCCCCAGACCCCGTCGCTGCCCCCTCCCTCCTCCACTTGCAGCTGGGGGCCCGGGGGCCTGAGCGTGTCCCCTTCACTCTCCTTCACAGCTTCACAGTGAGGTGGAGAAGCCCCTGATGAACTTCCGTGAGAATTTCAAGAAAGACATGAAAAAGTGTGACCACCACATCGCTGACCTCCGCAAGCAGCTGGCCAGCCGCTATGCTGCAGTGGAGAAGGTGCGGGGCCCTGGAGGGGGCTGACTGGAACCAGCAGGGGCTCTGCGTGTCAGGCAGAGATCCTTGTCCCTGCATGGTGGGTCCAGAGTGGGGGGGACAGTGCAAGCCTCGAGCCAAAGGGCAGGTAGGAGCTGCTTCCCCTTGGTGCTGAGACCATGGTCCAGAGGGCCAGTGGGAGCAGCAGAGGCTGCACCTGCCAAGAGGGAGAGTGGGGCTCCACTGGGCAGTGAGACAAGGTGCCCCTGCTCTTCTGTGAGATGCTGAACCTAGAGGTGCTACCAGTCCACACGTGGCCCTTTTGTCTGGGCCTCACTTGGCAGATTCCCTCCTGACTGAATCCCTCCCCTCCCAGAGGTCTGACCTCTGTGGGCCGTGGGAGCTGCTGACTTCCAGTCCTGGAGGGAAGAGGGCTCTCCCAGGGGGCTGACTCCAGGGCTCTGGACAGACATGCAGTAAAAGGGGGCAGGTTATGCTGCAGGCACCCTAGACCCTGCCAGCTGCCACCACTGAAGGACCCCTCCTGCCCCAGAATGGGGTGGCTGGCACTGCCACCCTCTGAGCACTGCTGGGAGGTGACCAGAGAGGCTGTGATTTTAGCCTGGGTCCCTAGAATGTGTTTGTGGTCTGAGAGGCTTCCTGCTAGGCCAAGTCAGGACTGCAGTTGAACGAGTCAGAGATGAGATAAAGCATCTGCATGGCCACCAGCGGCTGGGTGAGGCTCATCTAGCAGCTTGGCCTCTGCTAGATGGTGTCATCCACAGGAACAGAGAAAAGAAAGGACTCATACAAGCAAAGGGGAGGCTGGGCCATGGGACCCATGGGGCGCTCCTGGCTCTGAGCCTTGGGAACAGCTCTCTGGTGTTGCTGGACCCCAGGCCCGGAAAGCCCTCACGGAGCGGCAGAGAGACCTGGAGATGAAGACCCAGCAGTTGGAGATCAAGCTGAGCAACAAGACGGAGGAGGACATCAAGAAGGCCCGGAGGAAGTCCACGCAGGCTGGTAAGCGAGGAGCCACCCTCCACCCGCCTCCCACCATCCTCCCCTGGGTGCAGAAAGGGGAGGGCTGGGGGATGGCAGGCCCAGGGCCGAGGCTGGCAGGCGGGGCCGTGCACCGGCAGCGGGCCAGGCTCTTTGCAGCCCGTGGTGGGGGACCGGGCTCCTCACTTTGTCCACAGAGGGCTCTTCTCTTGCCTAAGCCCTGGATCTCTGACCAGGACCTGGACAAACGCGTCCACCCACTCAGAACTCAGGGGTCGTATCCCTGTGTGGAGCCCACCTGAGAAATGCCAACCCCCCCACCCGCCCATGCTGTTCCACCTCCCCAGGGAGTGATACGGAAGGCTCACCTGTGGTGACGGGTTCCCACTGCCCTGGAACACAGGTCCACGTGTTGAATGAAATAACCGGGTTTCAGATGCTCTCTGGGACTCCCCGGAGAGTTGGTTTCTGTTTCCACCTAGTGGTAAAAACTAGCCAGTGCATAAAGAACGGGGAGAAGGACCGCTTACAAGCCGTAAAAAACGTACTAAATACTTCTTTTAAAAGCCAAAGTTTCAGTGCATGCACAGACAGTGCGTTTTGCTTTCTGGGATTGAAATGTGTGCTGTAGGGTTAGGGTTTGGATCAGATGGTCTCTAGGTCCTTTTTGCCTCAACTTCCGGTAAGTCTGGTACAATTAATTCATAATAGAATCAAGCAGCCTAAAACATTCTGAAACATGGTGGTATAAAAATAAGTCAATAATAAAATAATATAATACAACATTTGATGTGAAGATCTTATACTGCACAGTTACTGGATCCAGAAATAGAAGACATGCATCATGGGTTTGGGAAGGGAGACCCAGGAGGGGGAGAAGCATATTTAAATTAGTTTGGTTCATTAAATTATTAAGAAATAAAATTATATTGCCAAACAGTATTGCTGCCTGGCAAAATATTTTAATAGCACGTAAGAATATAAAATCTTATGCACCAGATATAATCAACCATTGACACTTCCTAGTGTTTTAATTTTTAAAAATGTTTTTAATGCTTACATTTAAATTTATTCTTACTAGCTCATATTATACTCTGTTTTGAACTTATGTTTAATTGATGAATCTTAGCGATCTCTGTGTTCCATCGCCTGTACATTTATTTGCCTGTTCAAATGAATTCATGGTATATTAATTCATTTTTGAGGATTGAATAGTCTCCTTGTGTATGATTGTATCCAAATCATTTCATCATTCCCTTAGTTGATTTTTGTAGGACTTTCAGATCATTGCGGTGTTTGCCAAGCCTGTGATGCTGTTATTGTAAATGTGTTTGCATGTTTGTGAGACTAAATCTGCATACAGAGAGAATATAGATGTGGAATTTGTGGGTCAAAAGTTTGTATTTATTTTGAGGGAATAGTTCCAGATTGTTTCCAGAGAGGTGTACCCACAAAAAACATCTCTGGACGCCTACTTCCTAAATTCTTGTCAGCATTGTGTTATCACATTTTGACATCGTAGCCATCTAGTAAAGAATACTATTTTACTTATTAACTTTTTAACTTTTAATACTACATTTTATTGCTGAAGAACACTATTTTGTTAATTGAATTTACATTTCTCATTGAGTGAAGTTGAACATTTTAAAAATAGACTTATAAATCATGTGACTTTTTTCCTATGAACTGACTAGCTCATATCCTGTCCCCATTGTCAAGTAGCTGGCCTTTTTCTTATTGATTGATTGTTATGGATTATTTCTATGTTAGGAAATTAACCTTTTGTCATTTGAATTGCAGATATTTTTCCCAGGTTGTCATTTATCTTTTAATTTTGTTGTTTGTCTTTTCCTCCTTTTTTTTGGTGGGGGTTGGGGTACTTTATTTCTTGTGTTTTTGTTTGTTTGTTTGTTTGGGGTGTTTTTTATATAAGTCTTTGCCGTTATGAGTTCTAGGTTTGATGACTGACTTAGGAGGACTTCCCTTCTTCGAGATTATTTTTTAAATACTTTTTTCCTTACTTTTTTTGGCTTCAGGTTTAAAAAAAACTAAGTATTCAACCCACCAGACATTTATTTCTGCTCACATCCCTGCTCCTAACCATATTCCTTAAGTTCAGATTTGCAGCATTTTCAATTATCTCATGTTCTAGATGTTTTGCTGTTTGTATTTCAATCCCACCCTTTGAGATAAATTTAAAAGAAAATGTTTAAATTTTCAGCCACTAGGGCTCTGTTACTGAACTTTCTAGTCTTTTGCTATTTGCTTCCCGTTATATTCGTGGCCATCAGATAATAGTCTCTTATCCTGCAGTTAGGAATTACTCTATGATGACAGGGGCTGGTCCTTGGACCTCATTCCGAAAACCACTGCTTTTTTAAAGCCCTTTCTGTGTGCCCAGCACCAGGCTCCCTGCCTTAGATCCTTCTCTTCTCCACAGTCCTCCTGTAGGGAGGTATTTTCATATCCTTTCATGGGCAGATGCAAGGCGCACGCCAAGGTGGAGACAGACAGCATGAGGGGCCTTCCCAAGGCCGCAGTCAGGCAGTGCTGTGGCCCAGAAATCCTATCTTCTCTTATTCCAAAGTCTCTGCTTGTCATCACTCTGTTGGACAGCCTGTCACCCAGGAAATGCCAGCTTTGCTTTTCTTCTGTGCCCTTACCTTGCCCTCTTCCAAGTTTGCCAAGGCTGCGGGAAGGGAAGGCATTGGGGTCCTCAGGGTCTTGTTCCTTCTGTCATCCTACCTGGCCAACTCCATACTAGCATCCATTCTGAGCACATTCTGCATATTGACTAATTTAATCTTCACCACGACTCTGTGAAAGGACCATTATTATCCCCATTTTACAGCTGAGGAGACTGAGGCACAGGCAGGTTCATTGACTTGTCCAAGATCTCGCAGTGAGTAAGCAGCAGAGCCGATGTGACAGCTCAGCTATTCTGGTTCCAGTATCCATGTCCCTTAACTCCTACTGTTCAGAGGGTCTGATTTCAAACCCTTGGGCTGTGCAAAAAGAGGCATGCCCTTATTTACTTTATTTCCTGATGTTGCAGAAGTTCCCAATGCAGGTTCTCAAGATCAGGATTGACAAATAGGGCTTTGGAAGTTTTCTTTATTTTACCAAATGTACATTACAGTGGTCCAGCAGTGCCCCTCCCCACCCCTGCCCACTCTCCTCCCTCCCCCTTGGTAACCGCTAGTCACTTCTCAGTGTCTGTGAGTCTAATGCTATTTTGTTCCTTCTGTTTTGCTTTGCGGGAATCTTCATACTGCACATTCACGGGGTGACAGGCTGACCCATTCTTGGTCAGGCACAGGCTTGTGGTGGGAATGCATTTGCAGAAAGGCATCCACTTTCTTCCCTCCAGTTCAATCCTTTTTTGGACCGATGGCCCAGTCCTTTGAGTTGGACCGAGAGCAACATGAACACAGCCCTTGATTTGGGTTCTGCCACTCATGGCTCATCTCCCAGCTCATGGTTCACGGCACAGTTCACCAGAGGGGAGATTGAGCTCGGCCCTGCGTCATGTGGACATACCTGTCACTTTCATTTTGGAATACACATGAGCATGGGTGACGTTTTCATAGGAGTAACTTTGAATCTGCTCAAATTACTGGATTTAAAATGTGAATCAGTTAGCTTTGGGTTGGCTCATGGGTTCTTCCCTTCATGAGCAAGGTCCTTGACACCTTCCACTCTCTAGAACCCTGTGATCAGGAAGCCAGCCACATTCAGACCAAGCTGTGTGCTCGCATGTTGCTTCTCTGACTGCGATGTGCATGTAGAGAACCTGAGGATTTTGTGAAAATGTAGGTTCTGTTTCAGTGGGTCTCAGGTATGTGCCAGGATAGCAAGCTGCCAGGGCCTACTGGTGCTTCTGGGCCTGGAATTGTTTTGTGTAACAAGGTTTTCAGGCGGGAGCTGGTATGCTCAATAATGTCTCATTATTTTACAGTTTGTATTCTTTCTAATTACAAATGTTTCAAGTGTATATATGGTTACAGGAAATATATTAGCCATCAAGATTACAGTTTGCTTTAGATCTCTTTTATGAAATAAAATACTATAAAAGGAGCTCAGTTCCCTCCCACCCTTTTGTTTCCCAATATAATCACTATCCTGGGGTGGTGTGTAGCACTCCAGGGCATGTTTTTATACCATTACTGCATGCAGGTGAGTCATAAACTATCAGAAACATTCTTCTGTGTTTCAGAATGATATCCTGATGTGTTCATACACGCATGTGCACGCACACACACACACACACACACACACACACACACACACACACACAGGATCTGCAGACATCTCTCCTTTAACTCTAACTAGTATCAGGTCACTTGTGACATGTATTTTAAAGAAGGATTCTTGATGTGAAATGAAGCTGCCATCTTTAGAGAAGGAAGTGTTTCTTGGACTCGTGATAGGGTTGGGTGGGGGTCCTAGGAGTAACCCCCCGGACATGCACACAGGCTGAGAAATCCCATTCCTAAATTCTTAGGGTCCAGGGTCAAGGTCAGATGGACACTCTGAGGCTGGTCTCCTGGTAATGGCCCCTTCCCATTGCTCTGTCCCCCTCCCTCCACTTCCCAGTGGCCTCCATGACTCCAGGGAAAGGGGAGGGCATGACTAGGGGGCACAGGTGGGAGAGAGCAGCCATGGAAAGGACTGGACAGAGTGTGATGGTGGCTGGTGGTTTTTTCCAGGAGATGATCTCATGCGCTGTGTGGACCTCTACAACCAGGCCCAGTCCAAGTGGTTTGAAGAGATGGTGACCACGACATTGGTGAGTGATGAGAGATGTGTAAGCAGGTCAGTGCAGGGCCTGGGGCTCAGGACGCCCTAAGTGGATGCTGGCAGGCATGCCGTCGACAGGGCGGAGGGCACTGTAGGGATGGGCATTTGGCTCACTCTGGTGTTGGGGTGAAGATCTCAACTTGGGGCCCCATCTGTGTGTATTCAAATCCTTGCTGTGGCTCTTCCTAGCCAAACCTGAGCAAGGTTGAGTCTTGCTCTGTCCCCCTTGACTGTCCCCTGAGGGGTCAGTGTCAACTGGGGATGCCCCCAACTGAATGAGTAGTGATGCCTTTAGGACAAATAGCCACATTATAGGAAGTGTGACCCTCCTCACTGCACCCCCAGGAGAGCTGCTGGTCAGAGACCAGGGGATCCTTACAAGGCACATAAATGGGCAGGGTTGAGGTAGCTGTGCAAGAGTAATGGGGGGGCTGACTGCAGGGCCTGGGAGCAGGCAGCAGACCCCTTTTCTTGCCTTCCTGAGTATTTCTTATAAGAGGGCGGTGTCTCCTCAGTCAGCACCTGCTTGGCTGGACAGTGAAGTGTGGTTGGCACTTGGGCCACTGGGCTGGATGAGAAAGGAGGCATCATGCCAGGTGCTTCTCGCATTGTCCCACGGCCCAAAGCCACCCTCATCCACCCGCCACAGGACTGACCTTTTGCCGGTATCTTCCCCAGGTGTCAGCCCCCCAGAGCAGATTAGAGGCCTCCTCCAGGGACAGTGACCTAGTTTTTCTCCTGGTTAATCTCCTAATTGAGCACCCTGCTTCCTCATACCTCCCTACCCGCCCCCCCCTAGTTAATCTCCTGGGCCATGACCCAGTTGTGCACAAAATAGCAAGCTGATCCCCTACATTCCAAAGATGTGGAACCATCTAGAAACCAAAGGAAAAACTCTTCCCTCTCTTGCCTTTGACAATGGCCACCCCTCTCCCAGCACCCCCTGTCTCCCTCCCCTCAGGCTTTCTGTGTCCCACTTCTCCACCCCACTGGGGAATGGCTGGCTGCACTGGTGCAGAATCACAGTGAAAAGCACAACAGACCCTGGCTCAGACCCTGCTTCTCTCATAATCCCATCACTTTAGCAAGTGCTTTACCTCTCTAGGCGTATTCCTTTGGTAAATGCCGGTAAGAACAGAACTTACCTCTTAAATGCATTATGAGGACAATAAGTAATACACATAAAGCTCTTAGTGCCCCCTGGCAGAGCAGGATTCAGAAAGTAGCAGTTGCTGTATCATCATCAGCCTGACCTTCACCCCTAGATACTGGCTGGGTGAGTTCAGCCCCAGGGGCAGGTGGGATCAGCTCTAAGCAGGCGTGTAGGGTGGACTGGGACCTGCATGGTGGCAAGGTCCCCAAGCTGAGGGGACATGCTCTGAGATCTCGGCTCTCTTCCTGGGGCAGGAGCTGGAGCGGCTAGAGGTGGAGAGGGTGGAGATGATCCGGCAACATCTGTGCCAGTACACACAGCTGCGGCACGAGACAGACATGTTCAACCAAAGTGTGAGTTCCCCACCCCCAGGCGGAGGCCAGCAGGACCCCGGGGGGACCCAGGGCCACCTGGCAGTGTGCTGTGGCAGGTTAAGTGGCTGCTACAAATGAATATGTCCTGAAGGTTGGCAGTGGGCAGGTGCCAGGCCTTTGGGTGGCCCCTTGGGATGGACCTGCAGGTTATCCTGGATGCCCACGGGAATCCATCCCAGTGCATGAAGTAGGAATGTGCATGAACTGTTACTCTGAGGAGAAAGAAACCTATGGCACTTAAAGCAGCTGAAGCCCTTACTGCCTCCTCTGGCACATTTCTTACCAAAGGAAAAAAAAACCTAGAAATATCCAAAGTATCTAAAGCTAAAGTTCCATTTGACCTTTTCTTGGGTGTTAAACGTGAGGACAAAAGGAGGAGGTTACCAACCTGGAGCCTTTGGGTCGCCCAGCCTCAGCCCTGAGGTCTGTGGGGGAGGTGTACCCAGTGACTGGAGATGAGAGCGCTAGGCTCCTTGCATGTCTGCCCCCACAGGGGCCTCCCCCAGGACCCCACAGCCCCCAGGAGAGGCTGCCCTGACTGGCTCAGAGGCAGCGCCCTGGCTCGGTGGCCATCTCTGACTGTGCTCCCTCCCCTGTCTATTGCAGACAGTCGAACCTGTGGACCAACTGCTTCGGAAAGTGGACCCAGCCAAAGACAGGGAGCTGTGGGTCAGAGAGCACAAGACAGGCAACATCCGCCCTGTGGACATGGAGATCTAGCTGGGCACATGTGCCCGGGGGTCCTGCCGAGGACGGGCTGGGGGTCCCAGAGAGAGGAAGGGGCGGCTCCCGCTGTGATGCCGAGTGGAGCTGTCCTCACACCCATTCTCCTGGTCCACTGAGCTGGTGATTCCAGAAGGGCGGCCTGCACGGCCCTCTGGGAGCTCCCCAGTGTTCCCGACTAGGAAGACAGGTCCACAGCCCTGCCCATGTCTCTGAGGCTGAGGCCCCCAACTCCTGCGCTGTACTTGCCATAATGAGAACAGACTGACGCTCGAACTTTGTGGTCCCTGCCGAGCACCACAGGGGTCATCTGCCCCCTGGAGCCAGCCGTGTCACACTTGTGCCCCTGGAAGCCCATAGCCCTTCCTTCAGCTGCCCCCTTGTCTCCAGGGCTTCAAGGGTCAGGGGAAGGAGGTTTCTGTCTGCCAGCCAATGTCAGGATGAGAGTCGTGGAGAAAAGGCAGCCTTCTGTTCAACAGCCTGCACCCAGAATCCTTTGCAGCCCTCCCTCTTTCTTCTTCCCATTGCATTCTGGGCTCCTGCGTCCTGGCCCTTCTCTGCTACTTTGCATCATCGGGTATCTTGGGAGGAAGGCCTGTCTTCCCAGACTGACCCTGCCTGGGGAGGTCAGGATGGAACTACCTCATTCAGCAAATTAGCCCCAAGTTGGAGCATTGAATTGTGTTACCTATTCGACCAGGCATCCTCTGTAACATCTCCTCTCTGGAAACCCCCGGTCTACCCAACTCTCTGCTGCTTCCTCCCACCTCTGCCCCCTACCAGGCTCTTAGTGGGGCTAGGGGCTGCGTCAGTCCCTTGTGGGAGACAGGTTGGGGCAAGTCTTTGTCATTCCCCTAAATGGCTCCACCTGCTGTTGTGTGCGTGGGGTGGAGGGCGGTTGAGACCGCTCTGTATGGCGCTGTCTCACCGGCAGGCACTGTACAGGCAGTGTCACACTGCCTTGGCAACTCCGGCACGTTCCAGAGTCCTGCATGGAGCCTGCTTGGTGCTGATGCCACCTTCCCCTTTGCCCTCCTCGCCGTTCCTGGGAAGGCCTGGCCTGAGTGTGACTTGGGAAGCATTTAGCCCTACCCCTGGGTCCTCACTCATCACTTTGTCCTTTTATACAACCAGAGCAGACACATTCTCCACCGTTGTTAAATCTTGAGAATCAGCTTAAGGGGACTGAAGAAGAAAAAGGCCCTGAAGGAGTTCATACAGCTCGTAAGGGGCAGATTCTAGCTGGAACCCACACCCCGAGAACCCATTTTCTTAGTTAATCTTTCCCATTGATTACTTTGGGTTTATGGGACCTACACATCTCCCACAAGGTCATAATTCTAAGAGCGCAGCCACTGGTCTTTCTCTCACTCTGGGAACTGATTATTCATCTTGAATCTCTTGACCTTTCACTGAGTCAGAATGGCTGTCATAGTTTATAGTAGAAAAATACTGAATATTCTAAAGCAAACTGAACATTGTCACTTTTCTTACTGAAACACCCACCCAAAAAGGTCAGCGTGAAGGCTGTTGGGATGGATCTGTTCCTGGCCTGGAGAACCAATCCTTCTGGAACTAGGGTTAGGCCGTGACACCAGCTACTGATTTTAGGGTATTACTTCTTGGCTTTGTGGTAAAACTGGGCACTAGTAGTAGTTGCTTTGGGGCTTTAGTAAACTAACTTGTGGATGATTTTCAGACATTGAGAGCCAACAGCCTTGTTACCAACACAGATACTCTGAGTGTGGTGTGGCTCATGGAGTCTGTTCCCTTACCTCCACCAGAGGATTCCAGTCGCCTGCTTCTCCCTGGGACAGAGGGAGCTCTCTTGTCTCTTCCAGAGTAGCCCAAGTTGGACCAGTGTGAACAAGTCTATTTTCTGAAGTCATTCTTGCCCCCCCTGAGACCTTCACCTCAGTCTCATTCACCTCTTCACCTGCTTTTTTTCTCTTCGTTTATTCATTCATCAAGCATTTAGCTAAGGCCGAGCGATGCGCTAAAATCTGGGAACAAGATGAGGCCCTGTTGTCAGGGAAGCCCATGGTCTCTTACTTTGTTTCTGTCAGGGGTCTTGCAGGTCGGTAACCTTGGCATTCACCTACAGGTACTCTGCAGGATTTATGTTTTCAGAGATACTGTGTGTCATGCTGATGTGCATTCAATCATTCACTCATTCGTTTGCTTATTCAGCAGATACGTGGGATAAGCCAGGCATATGTAGCTGCATATGAGACAGGCAATCTCCCGGGGCCCCACTATTCTCCATGTAGACGGGGATGTTTAGACTTTCCTGGAGAGCGAGGATATCGCACCCCTTGCACATGTCACCCGCTGGGAGCCTGTAATGACAATTTAAATGGCCTTGTCGCATTTACCCACTGGGTGGAAGGTAAGACAGCAAGAGTTTAATCACCCAGTCACTAAACCCTCACAGCCTGCATCCGACTCTAAATAACTCTCCTTGCTTTATAAAGAGGAAGAGTGAAGCCCAAGGGTGGCCAGTGAGTACTGTGGAATGAACACCCTGAATGGGGTGCAGGGCTGGAGTGGAGAGTCCAGGCCTCCTGTTCTTATTCATGGCTCCCCTTCTGGGTGAAATCAAGATAAAGATGAATATCTAAAAGTGTACTTCAGATCTGCCCTCCACCCAGGTTGTTGTTTTTTTTCTTTAGATTTTGGTGTTTGTAAGAGAATTTGGCTGGATTTACTCAGAGTGAGGCTAGGTGATTCTTGAGCACATGCAAGTGGCTGTTTCTGAAAACAGGTGAGCCCTTTCCACCAGCTGCCTCTACCTGGAAGACATGGATGCACTTAATTTTGTCTGTGAAAACCTGATTTTTTTGAAATATTAGCTGTAAGATGAATAGTGTTCATAGTGGGTTGGTAGCTATGACAACCTTCAGGGAAAGCCTCTTATTCCGCTCCATTTTTTTCAATTGCTTTTCATCAGCGTTGCAAAGCACTGGCCATCTGAGCTGTAGGGACAGCTGTGCTGAGGGTCTGCTGTGGCCACCTTGGGCCTCCTGACTATGTCCACCCAGTGCCTGTTGGCTGGGGGAGGATTTCTGCCAGGGGAGGCACTTCTCATCAGGGCTGGTTAATGAGTGAAGCCAACAGAAAGAGTGCCTACATTCATGAACCAGGGGTTTGTTTCTATTCCCTTTGTGAAAACCAATCAATTATTAGATTAGTGGATGGGTGCATAAAATTCTTGGCTGAGCCCAAGTTCCTTCTTGGAAAAGCCATAAAATTCAAAGGATGTCAAAGACCTTGGCTTATTTAAGTGCTTTTACTTCCAGCTGTGAGTGGCCTTGAGAAGGAGAGTTTAAACAGGATTCTGCAAACCTGCTGGCTTTATGTAGGTATGGAAAGCTCTTCAGGAATGTTAAGTGGGGCACCTTTCACAGCCTGCTTACTTACACACCATCCAATTCCCATAATCCTTCCCACCCCTACAAGCTGATTGCCTCCCCCCCACCCCAGGTTTATTGAAGTATTTGACATATAGTACTGGGGGTTATGGACAAACAGTAAAATTTACCCTTTCAAGTGTATGGCTCAGTGAATTTTGATGAGCATGTAACCACCAAAGTCAACATAATATTTCCATCTCTCCAGAACATTCCCTCAGGCTACATCCCTACCCGCCCCCCCCTAGTTAATCTCCTGGGCCATGACCCAGTTGTGCACAAAATAGCAAGCTGATCCCCTACATTCCAAAGATGTGGAACCATCTAGAAACCAAAGGAAAAACTCTTCCCTCTCTTCCCTTTGACAATGGCCACCCCTCTCCCAGCACCCCCTGTCTCCCTCCCCTCAGGCTTTCTGTGTCCCACTTCTCCACCCCACTGGGGAATGGCTGGCTGCACTGGTGCAGAATCACAGTGAAAAGCACAACAGACCCTGGCTCAGACCCTGCTTCTCTCATAATCCCATCACTTTAGCAAGTGCTTTACCTCTCTAGGCGTATTCCTTTGGTAAATGCCGGTAAGAACAGAACTTACCTCTTAAATGCATTATGAGGACAATAAGTAATACACATAAAGCTCTTAGTGCCCCCTGGCAGAGCAGGATTCAGAAAGTAGCAGTTGCTGTATCATCATCAGCCTGACCTTCACCCCTAGATACTGGCTGGGTGAGTTCAGCCCCAGGGGCAGGTGGGATCAGCTCTAAGCAGGCGTGTAGGGTGGACTGGGACCTGCATGGTGGCAAGGTCCCCAAGCTGAGGGGACATGCTCTGAGATCTCGGCTCTCTTCCTGGGGCAGGAGCTGGAGCGGCTAGAGGTGGAGAGGGTGGAGATGATCCGGCAACATCTGTGCCAGTACACACAGCTGCGGCACGAGACAGACATGTTCAACCAAAGTGTGAGTTCCCCACCCCCAGGCGGAGGCCAGCAGGACCCCGGGGGGACCCAGGGCCACCTGGCAGTGTGCTGTGGCAGGTTAAGTGGCTGCTACAAATGAATATGTCCTGAAGGTTGGCAGTGGGCAGGTGCCAGGCCTTTGGGTGGCCCCTTGGGATGGACCTGCAGGTTATCCTGGATGCCCACGGGAATCCATCCCAGTGCATGAAGTAGGAATGTGCATGAACTGTTACTCTGAGGAGAAAGAAACCTATGGCACTTAAAGCAGCTGAAGCCCTTACTGCCTCCTCTGGCACATTTCTTACCAAAGGAAAAAAAAACCTAGAAATATCCAAAGTATCTAAAGCTAAAGTTCCATTTGACCTTTTCTTGGGTGTTAAACGTGAGGACAAAAGGAGGAGGTTACCAACCTGGAGCCTTTGGGTCGCCCAGCCTCAGCCCTGAGGTCTGTGGGGGAGGTGTACCCAGTGACTGGAGATGAGAGCGCTAGGCTCCTTGCATGTCTGCCCCCACAGGGGCCTCCCCCAGGACCCCACAGCCCCCAGGAGAGGCTGCCCTGACTGGCTCAGAGGCAGCGCCCTGGCTCGGTGGCCATCTCTGACTGTGCTCCCTCCCCTGTCTATTGCAGACAGTCGAACCTGTGGACCAACTGCTTCGGAAAGTGGACCCAGCCAAAGACAGGGAGCTGTGGGTCAGAGAGCACAAGACAGGCAACATCCGCCCTGTGGACATGGAGATCTAGCTGGGCACATGTGCCCGGGGGTCCTGCCGAGGACGGGCTGGGGGTCCCAGAGAGAGGAAGGGGCGGCTCCCGCTGTGATGCCGAGTGGAGCTGTCCTCACACCCATTCTCCTGGTCCACTGAGCTGGTGATTCCAGAAGGGCGGCCTGCACGGCCCTCTGGGAGCTCCCCAGTGTTCCCGACTAGGAAGACAGGTCCACAGCCCTGCCCATGTCTCTGAGGCTGAGGCCCCCAACTCCTGCGCTGTACTTGCCATAATGAGAACAGACTGACGCTCGAACTTTGTGGTCCCTGCCGAGCACCACAGGGGTCATCTGCCCCCTGGAGCCAGCCGTGTCACACTTGTGCCCCTGGAAGCCCATAGCCCTTCCTTCAGCTGCCCCCTTGTCTCCAGGGCTTCAAGGGTCAGGGGAAGGAGGTTTCTGTCTGCCAGCCAATGTCAGGATGAGAGTCGTGGAGAAAAGGCAGCCTTCTGTTCAACAGCCTGCACCCAGAATCCTTTGCAGCCCTCCCTCTTTCTTCTTCCCATTGCATTCTGGGCTCCTGCGTCCTGGCCCTTCTCTGCTACTTTGCATCATCGGGTATCTTGGGAGGAAGGCCTGTCTTCCCAGACTGACCCTGCCTGGGGAGGTCAGGATGGAACTACCTCATTCAGCAAATTAGCCCCAAGTTGGAGCATTGAATTGTGTTACCTATTCGACCAGGCATCCTCTGTAACATCTCCTCTCTGGAAACCCCCGGTCTACCCAACTCTCTGCTGCTTCCTCCCACCTCTGCCCCCTACCAGGCTCTTAGTGGGGCTAGGGGCTGCGTCAGTCCCTTGTGGGAGACAGGTTGGGGCAAGTCTTTGTCATTCCCCTAAATGGCTCCACCTGCTGTTGTGTGCGTGGGGTGGAGGGCGGTTGAGACCGCTCTGTATGGCGCTGTCTCACCGGCAGGCACTGTACAGGCAGTGTCACACTGCCTTGGCAACTCCGGCACGTTCCAGAGTCCTGCATGGAGCCTGCTTGGTGCTGATGCCACCTTCCCCTTTGCCCTCCTCGCCGTTCCTGGGAAGGCCTGGCCTGAGTGTGACTTGGGAAGCATTTAGCCCTACCCCTGGGTCCTCACTCATCACTTTGTCCTTTTATACAACCAGAGCAGACACATTCTCCACCGTTGTTAAATCTTGAGAATCAGCTTAAGGGGACTGAAGAAGAAAAAGGCCCTGAAGGAGTTCATACAGCTCGTAAGGGGCAGATTCTAGCTGGAACCCACACCCCGAGAACCCATTTTCTTAGTTAATCTTTCCCATTGATTACTTTGGGTTTATGGGACCTACACATCTCCCACAAGGTCATAATTCTAAGAGCGCAGCCACTGGTCTTTCTCTCACTCTGGGAACTGATTATTCATCTTGAATCTCTTGACCTTTCACTGAGTCAGAATGGCTGTCATAGTTTATAGTAGAAAAATACTGAATATTCTAAAGCAAACTGAACATTGTCACTTTTCTTACTGAAACACCCACCCAAAAAGGTCAGCGTGAAGGCTGTTGGGATGGATCTGTTCCTGGCCTGGAGAACCAATCCTTCTGGAACTAGGGTTAGGCCGTGACACCAGCTACTGATTTTAGGGTATTACTTCTTGGCTTTGTGGTAAAACTGGGCACTAGTAGTAGTTGCTTTGGGGCTTTAGTAAACTAACTTGTGGATGATTTTCAGACATTGAGAGCCAACAGCCTTGTTACCAACACAGATACTCTGAGTGTGGTGTGGCTCATGGAGTCTGTTCCCTTACCTCCACCAGAGGATTCCAGTCGCCTGCTTCTCCCTGGGACAGAGGGAGCTCTCTTGTCTCTTCCAGAGTAGCCCAAGTTGGACCAGTGTGAACAAGTCTATTTTCTGAAGTCATTCTTGCCCCCCCTGAGACCTTCACCTCAGTCTCATTCACCTCTTCACCTGCTTTTTTTCTCTTCGTTTATTCATTCATCAAGCATTTAGCTAAGGCCGAGCGATGCGCTAAAATCTGGGAACAAGATGAGGCCCTGTTGTCAGGGAAGCCCATGGTCTCTTACTTTGTTTCTGTCAGGGGTCTTGCAGGTCGGTAACCTTGGCATTCACCTACAGGTACTCTGCAGGATTTATGTTTTCAGAGATACTGTGTGTCATGCTGATGTGCATTCAATCATTCACTCATTCGTTTGCTTATTCAGCAGATACGTGGGATAAGCCAGGCATATGTAGCTGCATATGAGACAGGCAATCTCCCGGGGCCCCACTATTCTCCATGTAGACGGGGATGTTTAGACTTTCCTGGAGAGCGAGGATATCGCACCCCTTGCACATGTCACCCGCTGGGAGCCTGTAATGACAATTTAAATGGCCTTGTCGCATTTACCCACTGGGTGGAAGGTAAGACAGCAAGAGTTTAATCACCCAGTCACTAAACCCTCACAGCCTGCATCCGACTCTAAATAACTCTCCTTGCTTTATAAAGAGGAAGAGTGAAGCCCAAGGGTGGCCAGTGAGTACTGTGGAATGAACACCCTGAATGGGGTGCAGGGCTGGAGTGGAGAGTCCAGGCCTCCTGTTCTTATTCATGGCTCCCCTTCTGGGTGAAATCAAGATAAAGATGAATATCTAAAAGTGTACTTCAGATCTGCCCTCCACCCAGGTTGTTGTTTTTTTTCTTTAGATTTTGGTGTTTGTAAGAGAATTTGGCTGGATTTACTCAGAGTGAGGCTAGGTGATTCTTGAGCACATGCAAGTGGCTGTTTCTGAAAACAGGTGAGCCCTTTCCACCAGCTGCCTCTACCTGGAAGACATGGATGCACTTAATTTTGTCTGTGAAAACCTGATTTTTTTGAAATATTAGCTGTAAGATGAATAGTGTTCATAGTGGGTTGGTAGCTATGACAACCTTCAGGGAAAGCCTCTTATTCCGCTCCATTTTTTTCAATTGCTTTTCATCAGCGTTGCAAAGCACTGGCCATCTGAGCTGTAGGGACAGCTGTGCTGAGGGTCTGCTGTGGCCACCTTGGGCCTCCTGACTATGTCCACCCAGTGCCTGTTGGCTGGGGGAGGATTTCTGCCAGGGGAGGCACTTCTCATCAGGGCTGGTTAATGAGTGAAGCCAACAGAAAGAGTGCCTACATTCATGAACCAGGGGTTTGTTTCTATTCCCTTTGTGAAAACCAATCAATTATTAGATTAGTGGATGGGTGCATAAAATTCTTGGCTGAGCCCAAGTTCCTTCTTGGAAAAGCCATAAAATTCAAAGGATGTCAAAGACCTTGGCTTATTTAAGTGCTTTTACTTCCAGCTGTGAGTGGCCTTGAGAAGGAGAGTTTAAACAGGATTCTGCAAACCTGCTGGCTTTATGTAGGTATGGAAAGCTCTTCAGGAATGTTAAGTGGGGCACCTTTCACAGCCTGCTTACTTACACACCATCCAATTCCCATAATCCTTCCCACCCCTACAAGCTGATTGCCTCCCCCCCACCCCAGGTTTATTGAAGTATTTGACATATAGTACTGGGGGTTATGGACAAACAGTAAAATTTACCCTTTCAAGTGTATGGCTCAGTGAATTTTGATGAGCATGTAACCACCAAAGTCAACATAATATTTCCATCTCTCCAGAACATTCCCTCAGGCTACACTGTAGTCAATCCGCTCCTCCCATCCCCAGCCCCTGGCAACCACTGATTGTTCTCTGCCCCCATTGTTTTTGCCTTTTCTAGAATGTTATGTAAATGGGCTCACAATGGTGTAGTCTTTGAGTCTGGCTTCTCTCGGCTTGCTGTTTTTGAGTCACCCATGTTGTGTGTGTCAGTAGTTCAGTCCCTCGCATTGCCAAGAGTGCCCCATTGCATGGGTGTATCCCGCTGCTTCCTTGCTTTTAAAGTGAGCAGTTTGCTCCGGAAGTTCCTGACCCGGGGTCGTTAGCTTTTTTGCACAGCTATTTCCAGCCTGCTGCTGCTTTCGGCTCCCAAGCTGCCACCTCCAAATGCCAGCTGTGCCCACGAGTGGGTCTTGGGCTCACACTTGCCTTTTTTGGTCCATTTTAGGGTTTTGGCAATGCAGAGAGCTGCCGGGGATTGTAGGGAGGGACAAGTGGGGTCTCAGTTGCCTCCCACTTCTGTGCCCTGATGCCTGAAGCTTGTGTCTGACCAGCAGGCACGGCCTCCTGGGGGCCTTCACTTCAGTGTGGAAGGGCTTTGGCACTTATCGAGCATTAGTGGGTGTGGAAGGTGGGTGGGTCTAGTGTGGATGAGAAAGCAGGGGGCTGGCCGTGGGCCCATTACCACCCTTTCTTAGTTCTCTGCTGCTTCATCTGCAAACAAAGTATTTGTTCTAGGTGGTCGCTTGGGCCTCCTCCAGCTACTCCATTTACTCCCCATCTCATTTCCAGTTTTGTGCCCTATGCACAGGGTCATGCCTAATCTGGGTCTCATCAGCACAGCAGGGCATGGTATAGTCTAGTGTCCTCGGGAGAGGGATACCCTGGTACTTCTCTGCTTAGATGCAAATGGAGCTCTTACTAAGAGTCTCAGAACTGAGCTGCCGAGAGGAGGAGGTAGTTCCTCCCAGGACCCCTAAAGCAAGCATAACAGTTGTTATCCTTTGGGTCTTGTCCATGGATCTTTGAAGTCCACTTCCAAGGATCCCGGATAGGCATGGAGTCAGAGCTGCCTCCATTGCTGGCGCCTGGCTCTGCTGGAGGTCACACCAAGCCTGGCCTCTCCCTGCCAGCATCCCGCTGTGTGGGGCTGGTGGTAGCAGAGAGAGGACCAACCTCAAGCAGGGCAGGCTGGGCATGATCCCAAGGTAAGGACCATGTGTGATCGTGCCCTGCTCTGTGACAGGTGAGCCCTGGAAGGCAGCTAGGTACCTCTCCAGGTGGGCCCAATGCGCGCGCATGTCCGCAGAATCCCACACCGCCAGGGTGGCTCTGGGCTGGGTTTTCCCAGGAAGGACTCTGTGTCCCCACCCCCCATGGAAGTGTTATTTCTGTTGGGCCTTTGCTGAACATGAGGGACCCAACTCCTGTTGCCGTAGCTTTGGGTTAGAAGGTGGGTGACAGAAACCAGTGTTCCATGTTCCGTAACCCTTGATTCTGGGGTGTGGCTCCATTCCAAGCCTTTGCTGGGAGATGCCTCTGAGGGAGAGGGGTTGTGAGGACCTTCGGATTTTTCCGTGCACTGTTCGGGGGACACTGACCCTTTCTGCTTGAGGGGAATTCCTAATGGGATTGCAGTGGTGGAATGCAAGGGGTCCGGGCACATGGGTGCTCTAATGGGGATGATGTGACATGGGGACAGGGAGGGAAAGCATATGGTTCCAGGGCAAGAGCACTGGACTGGCCCTGCTCCTTTGTCTCATTTGTCCCATAACCTCAAGTTGTCACAACCCCTCCCAGGACCCCTGTGTACTCACCTGTCAAGTGGGGACATGCCCCTTCCAGCATCACATACAGAGACTGGTTCTCAGGAGCTGTGGCATCCATGCAGCCCTGTGGACCCAGGGACAGACCTTCAAAGGGACATCAGCTATCCTTGGTGACGGAGGCCCCAAACTTGTATCTCTTTCCTTCCCTTAGGGAGGAGATAGCGGTAGGGTGGGGGGCAACTCTTTCACAGACATGAGCACATCAGCAAACCCTATGGAAGTGGAATTTTCTAACAGAATAAACTTGCTTATTTGGTCTGTTTTCTGTAACTTTTGCTAAATACTTTATACATTTTTAATGTTAAAAAGCTGTGTCTCCTGCCAGCATTCCTCATCCCGGTATGAATGTGTTTACTCCACATTGTATATCCTTCCATCCTCTGGCTGCCTAGATCAGTAAATAAAATTGATGTATTATAATTTATAAGTAACACTGTTGAAACTCTGATCCCTCTGGGGGCTGTAATCTGCCCTTCTCCACCCCGCTGTAATAGCATTTGTGTGTATTAATGCTGAAGAATTAAATGTTTAAAGGGTTTAAATTTTGAAGGCGTTTGCTATATATAATTGTTCTGCATTATTATAAAGCATTTTCAGGAAGTTAAATGCTGTCATTTTTGACTTTGGCTGTGTGTACACTTGAGATGCTTAGATTCATCCCATGTAAAATAAACTGTCCAGAGACACTGGGTCCCACTGGGTGACCCTCCCTCCTGGAAGGCTGCCACATTCTCCTTTGTACAAATGGTCTCAGCATTCCTCCCAGGCTCCCAGAATTGGTGATAATTTTCCTCCTGATGACTTAGCGGGACAAAGGGCACCTGGCCATTGACTTCCAGATGGGCACATGTTGCTGGACCTATAAACTTGACCTTGGTCCCAGTCCCCTCCCCTGGTGACCTGCGCCCCTGTGAAGAGAAGGGACTTCTGGTTATTGTTTCTTTCCTCATTTGTTCATCTATCCATTCATTCACTCATGCAAGCATGCAATAATTACTGAGCACCTACTATATTATATGCCAGACACCCCTCTGGGTGCTGGGGACACACCTCTAAAGAGTGCTGCCTTCATGGAGCTTTTAGCAGAGACAGACAAAAACAATAGACATACAAAATTACAGCATGGGTGTAGGTGTTAAGTGTAAGGGAGAAAGAAAAATAGGGCAAGGTGAGGGGGATCAGTAGTTTCAGGGGTGAGGATGGGTAAGTTGGGATCTTAAGGTAGTTGGGGTGGCCTCATCTAGAAAGTGGCCTTTGCTCAAAGACACAGAGACCTGGGAGGGAGTCTGGCGGGTACCTGGGGGAAGAACATTCCGGGCAGAAGAGGCAGTGTCTAAAGACCTGGGGGTACCTACTTGTCTGAGGCCAGTGTGGTAGGAGCAGAGGGATGGTGGGCAGGGGCAGCTTCGGCAGGTCTTTGCCCGTGATCCAAGGCCTTTGACTTTACTCGGGTCGGTTTGAGCCAAGAAGCCTGACTTCATTGCTGTATGACTAGGGGATAAGGGCACGAGTAGGCAGACAGGGAAGCTGAACAGGGCTGGGCAGGGGACGATGGTGCCTGTAGGTGCTGGTCACCGTGGAGGCAGGAGAATGGTCAGGTTCTGGAAGAACTTTCGAGGTAGGAGCGCCAAGATACCTTGATGGTTTGGAGCGGGTGGTGACAGAGAGAGAGGTGCTGAGGACAGTGCCAAGGATTTCAGTCCAAGCAACCAAGAGGCTGGAGTGCTATTCCCAGCAGAGGGGCTTTGCCAAGTGGCAAAGCCAGAGGAAAGCCCTGGTCTGCCAGGCTGCCTGTTCAGGGCTCTTTCCCCTACATTACAACTGCTGGGAGGCTTGAGCCAGGGGGCAAGAAGCTTCATTTCCACGGGTGAGCCGCTGGGGTTGCCATGACAATGGGAGAAGCCAAGCAGAGGAGGGCGGTCTCTCCCATTCTCTGCCTCCCACCACCCTCCCCCAACCCCTGTCCTCTCAGTGCAGGCGTGGGTCCAGGCCAGGGTAGCAAGGGTCATCTTGTCCTTCAACTCACACACAGCAGGGGAAGGTGGAGGAACGGAGTGAGGGCTGGGGGGCTGGGCCCTGGCTAATGGTCAGGAAGAGCTCCGGCCTGGGGTGTGAGGGGGCCAGCCTCTGGGAAGAGCCTGCTTTTTGCAGTCAAGGCCAGGCCAGGAGGGGGAGACACAAACTGGGAATTTGGGACTGGAGACTGAGCCTTCCCCCCCACCGCCCCACCATCTTTGGGGTTCCCGGAGAGTTTACAGCCCCGGCTCAGACTTAACAAATTCCCTCACAACACATCATCTCCAACAACTTGTTTGGCTGAGGAGTGTAAACTCTCCCTCTGATAGAAGATGTTTATGCAGGTTTTCAAACAAGCCTGCAGGTCATGACCTTTTCCTCAGCAGCATCAACACAGCCACAGCGGTCCTTCCGCCGCTGGGCCCCTGCTGGGCAAGACGGCCTGAGGAATGTGGACAGGGCCATGCTGCTTCCCACCTGGTCCCAGCTCTGCCCTCCTTGCCCTTGGAAAGGGCAGAGGAGCCTGGGGGCTCTGGCTGCCCTCCCTGTTAACCCAGGGCCTCGTCTCCTTACCTGCTGCCATGGCTGCTCCTCACCTGCACCGGGGCCTCTTGTCCGCTCTGCTTGGGCCTCCTGGAGAAAGGACACAGTTGTAATATTGTGAAAAGGGCCCTGAATGGGGAGCCTGGCAGACCCGGGCTTTCCTCCTGGCTTTGCCCGGTCAGCAGCCGTGTGACCCAGGCAGGTGACATGCCTTTTGGTGATGGGTTTCTTCTCCCCAACATCAGCCTCGCCTCTTGTGCAGCCTCAGCATGGAAGGCCCTTTGAGCCGCCTCCCGCACCCGGCTGGAAAGCAAGGGGGAAGCCTCTGGCCTCGCTTTGTGTCTGCTTGTTTGTTTTTGAGTTCCATGGCTGTCCTATTTCTGACTGCTCTGGAGAACAAATGCCTTGCTACAGGATAGGGAAAGTCTAGAAAAAGAGAAAGTCCTCCTATAAAGAAATAGTATGTTTTCACAAACCGAAGGGAAAAAATAAGTACACATACATATCTAACATTCAGGCCTCCTGAAAATACTCTGGAACCACAGCGGGTAGAGTGACTCAGCATATAGGTGCCTGAATTTCTTGGTCTTTCCTAAGCAACATCTGGGGAAGTGGCTTTCTCCCAGCAGTGGGGTCCTGCTGTCCCCTGCCAGTAGCCTGTTATGAAGCAGGGTGCAAACCCCAATTCACCTACTTAGAGGTTGTGGGGTTTATTTTTCACTGTTACAAGCCCTGAGCAAAGAGGAGACATCTCTCCCAGCCAATTTGGCAATTTGGGGGTTCCAGGTATGTTGCCCTCTTGCATTATGTCAGCCAAGCCAAGACACTGATGACCTTTCCTTTGGGTGATGAGAACTCAGGTAGAATACATACTCCCTAGGGTTCCCCTTGTGTCCGATACTCATAACTGAGCTGACTGCTGGGATGTGAAGACTTCTCTTGGGGAGTGTCTTATCTCCTCTCATCCACTCACACACTCAGGAGGCATGTATTATTATGGTCTGCTAGCTGCAGACACTGGGCTTGGTTGCAAACTGACAACCCGCAGGCTGAAACTGAGCAACAGGTTATGTCTTTTTGACCCACACCATGATTTTGAAAACTTTGCATGAACTCTTGATGCTTAAATGCTTGAAAATTGCATCTAAAAATCTGATATTTGCATTTTTCTTGAGTAATGGAAAAGTCTAGTATCCTTGGGCCATAGTCTTATGTGACCACATTCAAATGGAGTTGAACATTGGCAGCCCCTTCTGTGCGTGACACAGGCCTTCCCACTCCCTACTGCCTCCTTGTTCCACCTGCTTTACTCACTCATTCCACTTGCTGTCCCCTGTAGGCAGTTGTAGATGACCAATAACAAAAGCTGACAAGGATTTACCACTTACTGTGTGCCAGGCTCTAAGTGTGCTGCACAGGGTAGCTCATTTCAGCCTCAAAATGATGAGGAGGTAGACACTTTTATTATGCCAGTTCATTCAAGAAATATTCAGTGAGGGCCTGAATTTGCCAGACACCATTCTGGCCACGGAGATGCAGCCCGGAACACAACAGGAAAATTCCCTGCCTATACAAAGCTTTCATTCCGACAGTACTCAGGCACAGATAGCACACAGAATAAATAAACAGTAAGGCAGGAGGTAGGGGCCAGGGGAAAAAAGAAGGCAGGATAAAGAGTCTGGGGCCTGCTGATGGTTTGGGGAGGGTGTTCTCTTGGTAATAGAGGGGTCAGAATAGGCCTTGCCCAGAGGTGACATTTAAGGAAAGCCATGAAGGAAGTGAAAGATTAGGAGAAAACCATTCTAGGGAGAAAGAGGTTTAGAAATGTGCCTGGGGTCACACAGCTGGCAAACTGCAAAGCTAGGATTTGAACTCCAGGCTGGGTCCTGTGTTACAGGGCTCAGTGACATCCCTGCCCACAAGGCCCTTAGAGTTAGAGCAAAGACGGGCAGCCAAGACGGTTGCACTTAGAGAACTAGGGTTGGGGTGGGGTGGGAGTATGGATGAGGGGCAGTGGGGAAGGCCTTGGCCCAAGGCTTCTGCTCTGAAGGTTCTGACCTCTTGAAGGCTGAGATGGATTGACCACTTGCTGTTAGCTCTTTATCCTAATCTCAGGGGGGTTCTGGGAGCTTGCCCCCGCCCCAAGCTTCTGGCCCCTCCCCCAAGTACTGGGGTGAACCAGCCACAAATCCTAATCCCCAGCATCTCAGCCTGCCGTCTCCAGCCACACCGACCCCGGCAGGCAGCCAAGAGACCACATCGTTCCCACCCAGTGGTGACTGCCCGGCCAGGCCCACGCTGCCTCACCCATGGGGAACAGCAGAAGTGGGGTCCTGTCCAAGGAGATCCTGGAGGAACTGCAGCTGAGCACCAAGTTCACAGAGGAAGAACTGTGTGCCTGGTACCAGTCCTTCCTGAAGGAGTGCCCCAGTGGGCGCATCACCCGGCAGGAGTTCCAGAGCATCTATGCCAAGTTCTTCCCCGACGCTGACCCCCAGGCCTATGCCCAGCACGTGTTCCGCAGCTTCGATGCCAACAGCGACGGGTCCCTGGACTTCCAGGAGTACATCATCGCCCTACACATGACCACCGCAGGCAAGACCGACCAGAAGCTGGAGTGGGCCTTCTCCCTCTACGATGTGGATGGCAACGGGACCATCAGCAAGAGTGAGGTGCTGGAGATCGTCACGGTCAGTGTCAGCTTTCTATGCACGCACCTGAGATCACCCGGGATTAGGCCCCTGCTGCGGCGGCTGCACAGAGGGCCGCAGCTGGGGACAGGGCTGGAGGGAGGGGTGGGGATCCAACCCTTGTGACTCAGTGGCTCTGAAAGCATGATGGGGGTGCGGTGCCTCCAAAATAGACATTAATAGAGGGCTGAGTGCTTTTTCTATTTCATTTTCCCCCTAAAGAAGAATCCAGGTATTTCTCATGAGTTACCTATTTGGTTTCCTTCCCACCTTCCTTTCTTTCTTTAAAATGTCCTTCCAAACCTTTAACAGCACATATTCAGATCCTTCCGCAATTAACTTTAAACGCACGTTTCAAATAAACAGTAGCAAAAGGCCAAAGTTGGGGGACATGAAATTTGACTCCCAGTCTTGTCTTCATAACATGGAACTGGTGACTTCACCCTGCCGGCCTCGGCTTCCCAGACTTAATCACGTGTTCTAGACTTACCCCTGGGTCCTCAGGCTCCCCTAAGGCCCATGCCTCCCAGCACCCAGGCTCCTCTCTGCCCAGATGGGCCCAGCATCAGATAATTTGCTGTGAATATTTTAGGTGTCTTGAAAGCAGTTTTATTTACTGTATAAGTAACTCATGACATTTAGAACTATGTGCAAAAGAAAATGAAAATTGCCCTTAATTCCATCCAGAGAAGAATGCCATCAACATATTGGTATATTCCTTTCCAGACTTTTATCTATATATTTAAGAATAATTTTAGAACTATAACATATTCATATGTGATTTTTATCATACTTTTTTCAGTACTATTTGATAATGCATGTTTTCCATATCAGGATATGTCCTTCAAAACCATATTTAATACCTGTTTAGAATTCCATTGTATGGAAATGCCATAAAGTTATTTAACCATTCCTATATTTTTGGAGAATTAGAATGTTTCTATCTTTTTGCTACTGTACCATTTGTATTTCCCTTCATTTAGTATCTTCTCACTTGATCTTTTTTTTAATTCTCCTACCCATGCCACTTGCTTTATTTCTCTAAGTCCATCCCTGTTAAGAGGATCAATGTTTTTCATATTTTATATAACTTTGAATGAAGCATTTGAAACCTGCTTTCATCTGTACAATTTTCCCATCCTTAACAGGAGAAACTGTAAACAAAATAGCCAAGCATCCAGCTTGTGTTCAGTGGACTCTGCTTGGGCTTCCCACTAAGGGCAGGACTATGTGGAGACCTCGCTGGCGTCTGGGCCCCACCTGCAGAGCAAGCTGCCCTGGACTGGCAGGGGGCCTGGGACAGGGACCACGTCCTTGAAACTACCTGAAGGATACCAGGCCCAGCAGAGGTCTTTGCAAGCCGGTGGTGCTTCTTGAGGCAAAGGAGGAAGGGCGGGAGAGGGAGAAAGGGAAAGAGGAAAGGAGGGAGGGGAGGAGAGGGGAGGGCAGACCCATGGCTGAGGCCGTGCAAGGTCTGCCAAGTCTCTGCTGTTCACAAGGTCACTGGCCTGGGAGTCAGAGCAGGTTCTATCGCAGCTGCGCTGCCAACTAGCTGTATGGCCTTGTAAAACCATATAACCTCCCAGGGCCCAGGGTGGGGATTCCACAGTTGTTCTCAGTTTTTTAACCAAGGCCCTGACAGTCTGTCCTTTGTGTGAGAAACAAGTGGCCAGGCAGCCAAGTAACTCCCAGGGTGTAGCTGTCAGGCCTTCACATGGTTCCCATGGCTCAGCACTCAGCACAGAGAGAGGCGTTCAGGAGCTACTTGCCCTTCGGTTGCTGGTGACCTCCGGGCTCTGAGCATGGCCAGCCGAGGCCGCTGCCTCTAGCTGCTGGGTTTAACTTCCTTGCTCCTCTTGTTGTAGCATACGGGCTGAAAAGGGACTTCTTGAAGCTGTTGACCTTCCCTCCAGGCATTGCTATCCCTTCCTGACTGAGTTTCCGGTGTCTCCAAGGTGCCCTCCCAGTCACTAACATACCTGCCTGCACCCCAAGCCTGCCCAACACCGAAGTGTGCACCCTGCCCAGCTAGCCCTGCGGTTACTGAGCTGATGGGGCCCTAGTAACCTGGATCTGGAAGAGCATCAAGACCACCTTGTCCCTTTGCCCGATCATAGGTTGGGGGGCGCTTGCTGCTCTGCCACACCTGGCAGATCAGCCTCCTTTATTGGTGAGAGGAGGATCCTTGAGCCTAAAGCTAACCCTCTCCCTGGACCCTTCCCAGAGCGGAAGGGCAATGAGGGGCTTCCTGCGCCATGGGGAGGCCTTTGGAAGGCCCATGCTCCCTTCCCAGCCCAGGGAATGCTCCCTATGGCACTCCAGGAGGTGAATGAAGTGGTGCGAGTATGGAAGTTCTAGAACTAAACTGTCTGGATTAGAATGTCCGCTCTTCTGTGTCCAGCTGGATGACTTTTAACAAGTTAGTTACCTCAGTTTCCTCACATGAAGTGGAGCCAGTAAGACCCACCGCATGAGGTTGCTGTGAAGTCACGTGCAAAAATGCTTAGACAAGTGTCACGTGTTAACCGCTCAACAAATATTGCCACTATTCCCGTAAGCCATCCCAGCTGGGCAGCCAAGGGGCCATGTGGACCCAGAAGCAGCCCTGTTTGCTATCCCAAAACTCCGGGACAGTAGGGTTCTAGTAACAGATTCTGAACTGCAACCTCAGGGCTGCTGTGGGGTTATCCTCAGAAAGCTTTTAATTTTCTATTTTCATTTCTTTATAAAATAAAAGTAACACATCCACATCACTAGGAAAGGCCTTTTGTCCTCCCTCATGTTCCCTGTCCCTCCTGAGGATCTCAACAATACAGATGCCCTGGGCTCCAGTTCCAGGAGCTTGGATGCAGTGGGGCAGGCCAGGGCCTGGGCATCTGCGTGTTAACCTCTGCCATCAAGGCTGCCTGGTCAGTGTGTCTGTTTCCCCAGGGTTGCCAGCCCCTATGGCTCCTTCTGATGAGTTCTTCCTCTGGCTTTGGTGCAGGCTATTTTCAAAATGATCAATCCTGAGGACGTGAAGCACCTACCAGATGATGAAAACACCCCGGAGAAACGGACTGAGAAGATCTGGGGATTCTTTGGGAAAAAGGATGATGGTGAATTCCCTCTTCATAGCCTTGATTCTAGTCATGGACTATTTCCCAGAGACCCAACCAGACTCATCCTTCTGAGTCCAGTGCCCAGGCGGGACAGGGTACTCATCCCATCATGAACTGCAGGCTGTTTGGAGGGCCTTTGTGGGGGATGAGAATGGGCTGCAGGGCCCAGTTCTGCCACCGCACTAGAGCCCACACGGCTGATGGGATAAAGTGCCATTTCCCCATTGCTTATAAAACTCACCGCTGCCTCAGCTTCTTGGGGGTAGGGGGGACGAGGGAAGCTCTAAACTGAGGGGTTTTGAAGAAAAACATCTTTTGCTATAAGAGCTAGCCCATACTGAAAGAATAGCAAAAAGTAGAGATAATAGCTCACTCGCAGTTTGTGTGCAAATGAGAGTTTACGGGGATTGCAAACCATTTTCTTTTTCAGCAAAGTGCCCATTTTTTAGATACTTTGGTTTGTTTTATTTGCTTTAAAAAATATATTCTGCAATGTTAGGACAGGGCAAACTTTAGCTCAGTGTCTGCCTGAATTAGCATCAAGTCCAAGTAAGTGGGATCTCAGTTTGCATGGTTTTACTTCATGAAGTTTGTTTGGGCTCCCAGAGAAGCAATGCCAGATGGGGATTAGATTTAAATTAGATTGAAAGAGATGTATTGGCAGAAAGGCCCAGGAGGGGCCATGGGGAGGGATCTAGAGAAGGCTGGGAAAGCATCGGGCTACAAAGCAGATCAGACCGCTGTGGGCAGAGACACAAGGAAGGTTAGGTGAGAAAAGTCTTAGACTGCAAAGCCATTCTAAGAACGTCTGGTAAAGCCTGTGGGGCCTCTTCAAGGCCCCTCCTTCCAGGAGCCGGCCTGTCATGGTACCTTGCCCAGCCCAGTGTTTGGCTGGGAGCAGCCGCTGGGGAGACTGTTCTTCACTGACAGCAGTGATGGGGTCCAGAACTGAGCTGCTTGCTGCGTGCTGGTGTCTGAAGGATACAGTAGGGGAGTTGGAGTCAGGCAGGGGCTGTAAATTCATGCAAGTAGACAGTAACCCTGCTGAGGGCAGGGCCTGGCTGTTAGTGGAGAGTGGACATCTGGTCTGATGACTTCCAGTTAACCGTTGCCTCATGGGGAAATGGAGTCCATTAGCACCTCATCATCTGATTTTTTAAAAAGAGAAGCCAGTAATTGATATTTTTAAAATCTGAGGTGTCTCAGCTGATGAAACACTGTGTGGCTCAAACACATCTGAGGGGCCAGGGTTGGCCCATTTGTGATCTCTGTGATGTCGGACCAGGGCCTAGGGGACAGGCCTGGGCAGGACATTAAATAAGAACAGGCGGAGATGACCCTGGCCTTACTAATCTGCAGCCCAGGAAGAAAGCTGAGAAGCAACAGGGTCATTGGCACTGAGCCTGAACTGGCGTGAGGGAAGGGGGTGCCAAGGTGCATTGAAGGCGGCACTCATGTTCAGGCGCCGGCCCTGTGCTCAAGCGGCCCTGAAAGGGGGTGACAACTGAAATGTCGCAGAGTAGGCGCCTCACCTGCCTCACCCTAGTCCTGGCCCTGACATCACCTCTCCTTCGAGCGCCTTCTTCTCCTCTTTGCATGGATCCTGGCTGCTTCTGATGCCTCCCTGTGGCACCCCACCTCTCTGGCTATTTAACCCCTTCATGACACCTGTCATGTGCTGGTTGCCCTTTCTACTCCCTGCCGACCTAAACACTGAGCCACGTGCATGGCACAGCAGGCGGTGGTGGCAGAGGGCTGATGTTATGCTTCTCCCCGGGGACGTGTGTTTTCACATGGGCCCTTGGGAGACAAGGATCGACTACTGATGGTGGGAGTTTTAAGCTCTATGTGAGGCTGATAGGGCAGTGGGGACTTTAAAGCCCAAATTTCACCATTCTGACCTGCTCAGGGAACCAGCCTGGAGCCTAACCCAGAAGGGACTCAGAATGCCCAAAGGCCCTGAACATAAACCAGTGGAAATTCAATTCAGATCAGCCACACTTTGTTGAGCATCTATTACATGCAGGCACTGTGCGCATAACCATGAGCAGAAAGGCCAGTGGGCACTCATGCTCAGGAGCAAGTGTCTCATTCTAGAAGTTTTCAACATGGGACTGTCTTCCCCATCAGACCAAGAGCTTCCTGGGGCCAGAACTTCATCTTACTCCCTTCTATGCCATGCCCTGCCCTCTGGCACCTGCAAAGACCTGAGCCTCTGCGCTGAGGCTCTGGCACAAAGGAAAGACTCAGAACCATGCATTTAACTGGATGGAACAGTATACAGAAGTTGGGGGCAATGCTCTCTGTGGTCCCACGTGGGGAGGTAGATCAGGATGCAGACGTGCATGGGGAAGGATTGTTAGCGGAGAGCCATGGGGTTGCCCGTGTACCGGGTGACAGGCAGGGAGACCTCTCCACAGCCAGGCCCTCCCTGCCTCCACATTGGGCCCCTCACTTTTCACTCCTTGCTCTCTGTGCAGACGCTGTTCCCTGCTTCTCAACTGAGATTCTGTTTGCTTCACTCAGTCCCGCACAAGTGCCCCCTGAACTTGAGACTTGAGACCTAGGGTAATATTAAAAATATTTATTAACCAGCGAGACAAAGGCATCAACCAATCTGAAGAGGCACACATCACCAGAATACATCCTGGCAGTGCCGGCCATTGAACCTCTTCTGCTGGTTCACAGGGAGGTCCAGAGGTCCTGGGGAGGAGTTGGGTATGGGGGTACCCTTGGGGCATGGAGACTCAGTATTGTCATAATGGATACATTCGTACTGGGCATGCTGGCCAATGTCAGTCCTGCTGCTACTTGAGACAGCTAATATTATCTGACAGCTAATAATTGACTGTAGTATTTTTTTCCCATGCACAGATAAACTTACAGAGGGAGAGTTCATCGAGGGGACCCTGGCAAATAAGGAAATTCTGCGACTGATCCAATTTGAGCCTCAAAAAGTGAAGGAAAGGCTAAAGGAAAAGAAACCATGAGACCAGCTGCTCAGCCCTCCTCCCTCCCCTCACCATGCACACAAACACCGTCATGCACATGCATGTGCTCACACACACCTGGGGCCAAGAGAGGGGCTTCTGAGCCTACAGTAGGCTCCCTGCCCAACAGCACTCCACCAGTTCCTTCTTCCCTGCCCTTAGACTCCCTCCCATTATGCCTGCCTCCCCTGCCCCTGCCCACAGCCCCCGCCTCCAAGGTAATCCCAGGATTAGGTGACAGGAGTCCGGAACAGCCTGTGTAAGCTCCTTTGTGGAGTGCTGGATAAGCAGGTTCCAATAAATGCAACAGGAGTTGAGCACCCAGCTGGCTGGTCATTCTTGAACTGGAAAAGGAAATGATTTCTGACAGCTCAGCCTCAAAGACAGGAATGTATTGCCATTGCGATAGTCCTGGTGCTGGTGGGCACTGGGCTGTGGTGGTGAAGGAGACAGACCCTGCACTTGAGCTCAAGGTGCAGAGGGGACTACAGACCTTGAAGAAACCATTACAAATGGTGAGGTTGCTGTGGAGATGTGCAAACACTATGAGAAGATATAACAGGAGGGGCTGACTGGCCCAGAAGATCAGGGAGGGTCCTCCTGATGGAGAGACAGGGGACAGCTCTGGAGATATTTAGGAGGTAGACACCACCTGACTGGCTGTAGGGGGAGGAGGAAGGGGCAAAGATGGCAGTCAGGTTTATGGCATGGGTGCTGGGTGAAAAGTGATACTGTTTACTGAGATGGAGAACCCAGGGGGAGTTGCTGATTTCAGGCAATAATGACAACTTCAGTTTTGATAAGGTGAGAGGTGAAGACAGATGTCCCTGAGACCCCTCACTGTAGAGACAAGGAAAGTGAGGCCCAGAGACAGCAAGCAGTCTTCCCAGGGTCAGCCAGCTCATGAGCCGAGGCCAGGCCACAGTTGCCCACTGGCCTACACTGCCTTATCAGAGCTCCAGGGCCTGGGACTCCACCAGTCAGTTCTCGAGATCATTCGTTGTTTTCATTGTTTTGAAGTCCCACTTAGTCTCCAGCCTTAAGTCCCAGAATCAGATCATAAAAATATGCAGAGGTCCTGGACACCTGACTGGCTGTGTGCAACCCCCCGAGGCAAGGAAGTCTCCATTTGCTGGTTTTGGGGTGATCCTCCCTTCCCAGCTCCAATCACAGCGATGGCACAGTCACCGCCAGAAAGCACTACTCTGTGGAGGGAAAACTTGAAAGCAATCATACCCTTAGGCGTGGAGCACTTCCTGTGAGCCAGTCATCCTGCTAGGTGCCTGGTACTATTTGATTGAGGTAGGTGTTATTATCCCCATGGTATGGATGGGGACACTGAGGCCATGAAGTGAGAGTAGGATTTGGTACTTAAACCAGAGCCCCTTTGATTACACCAGGCTGCTTCCATAGTTTGACCAGGACATGACAAGACAGAGAACTGTGGGATTGTACAGCATGGGAGCTGGAAGGGGGTGGGGAGCTACACAGCATCTGGTCTAGCGGTTCTGGGAGGAGGAGTTACTATTAGAATCACCTGTCCAAGACTCCCCTCCAGTATCAGATGTAGTGGGTCACCCAAGATCCAGCTTTGGGGAGAAGAAGGACCTTGGGTCCAGCTCGGGGTGTATAGAACCACAGGGCTCAGTGCCTCACTCTGGTGCTCTGTCTACCACCTCACACACCACCCTCTGTGAGTGAACCTGGTTGGTTGGGGCTCTTCACTTCTCTCTGGGGTCAAGGCATCCATGTCACTTGAATCTAAAAGGGTAGAGGTATAAAGCTGCCACTGGGTCTTCTGCTGGCCACTTGGGTTGCAGTCCTGTATAGCTATAGGGCAGTCTCTGGGGAGGATGCTGAGAGCACCTGGAAGCAGTATAAAGTACAACTTGATTGAAGTGAAGGGAAGGAGGTAGAGATGGTAATGAAGTATGTCATCAAGACACTTCCAGACACGAGGGACAGAGGATCCAGCACAAACGGTTGTGATACACATAGGAACTTACTGACTCATATAATTGAAATTCTAGGAGTAGTACTAGCTTTGAGTCTGGCTTAATCCAGAGGCTCCAGCCATGTCTCAGGGCTCTTCCTCCATCTCCTAGTTCTGCTCTCTGCTGTGGTGGCTTTATTCTCCGGCAGGCTATTCCCCCTATGCTAGAGAGATGGGCATCAGCAGATGCAGGCTTGCTTCTTCATGGTTCAAATGTCAGCAAAAAAGAAAAAATGCCTACTGCCAAGAGTCCCACACAAAGCCTCAAGACTGTCTCTCATTGGCTCTGTTTGGTCATATAGCCATCCCTGACCTGATATCTGGAGCCAGGAGGGTGTCATGTTTGGATTGGTCAAGCAGGTTTTCATTCTCATCCTTGGGGCTAAGGGTGGAGTCAGGACAACTCAAACTTCATGGACTGAGAGTGGGAGATAAATAGTTTCCAAGAGAAAATTTGGGTGCTATTAGTGTAAGAGAGGTGAATTGTAAAAATAGATGTCCACTGAAGAGACTTTGGGTAAGTCAGTTTATGTCTCTGAATTTCTGCTTCTTCATGTACTTGTAAACTCAAGAGCAGAAATGGGTCTCATCAAGAACAATAATCCAAATGGTTTCACAGGACCCCATCCTCCTGAGTGACCCTTGGGTGTTTCTTAGCATCCCTAAGAAGTGTCCCCAACAGATTCACCAAAATGACCTCTAGTGCCAAGTGCCTTTGCTGCCAGGCTTCACATTCCCATCACAGTCAAGGCTACAGTGCTCCTGACATACCCAAGCTGTGTGCTGGGCTGCTGGTAAGCCTTCTGGGTTAGAGTTTGTTAGGAGACCTGTGAGGAGTAGCATGTGCCATGGAAACAGTTCTTACCATTGTCTCTCAGAAACAGCTCTTTGAGATTCTGTCTGCAGCTCCTTTGTTTACCAGGGTCAGACACTGTCCATGTAACCAGATGGGGACAGACATCATGCTGCTCTCTCCACCTCTATTTTTGTCCCTTGGAGTTTACAAAAATTTAGCAGATGAGCTCAGATAGGTCTGGGTCTCAGTTGAGGACCTCGAAGGGGATGCCCACCTCTCAAAAAGAAATAAAACAAGACAAAACAAAACTGGACAAACTATATCTAAATTGATCTTCACTTAGAGTTTTGAGAATCAGTTAAGGCTTTTCTTATGGAAGAATGTCTAAGCTCTACATGCTACACAAACGGAAGACCTGGTCATTTGGACTTCAGCAAGATATTGTCTATTTCCAGGGGAAGGTTTGCCTTGAAGCTTTGTCCACTGTTCTCAACCTTGGTCATATATTAAAGCCAGTCAGGTGGATCTGACACCAAAAGCACAGGCAACAAAAGAAAAAAATAAATAAATTGGACTTCATCAAAATTGAAATTTTGTACATTAAGAGACACTATCAAGAGAGTGAAAAGACAATCCACAGAATGCAAGAAAATACTTGTGAATTACATGTCTCATAAGGGATTAATATCAGCATATATAAAGAACTCCTACAACTCAACAATAGCAAAAACCAAACAACCTGATTTAAATACAGGCAAAGGGATTAAATAGATACCTCTCCAAGAAGATATACAAATGGTCAATAATTACATGGAAGGATGCTCAACATGTTTGGTCATTAAGGAAATGCAAATTAAAACTGCAACAGCTACCACTTCACACCCATTAGGAGGGCAATTGTCATAAAGATGGAAAATAACTTTTGGCTCAGATGTGGATACATTGCAATTCTTGTGCATTGCTGGAATATAAAATGGTGCAGCTGCTGTGAAAAAAGTTTGGCAGTTCCTCAAAATGTTAAACAGAATTACCAGATGATCTAGCATTTCCACTCCTAGGTATCTACCCAAAAGAATTTAAAACAGGGACTCACAGATCTTTGAGCACCCATGTTTGTAATAGCATTTTTCACAACAGCTAAAATGTGGAAGCAACCCAAGTGTCACTCAACAGATGAATGCATTTTTAAAAAGTAGCATATATATTTACTGGAATATTAACCTGCCATAAAAAGGAATGCAATTTTAGTACATGGATGAACCTTCAGGATATTATGTTAAAGTAAGCCAGTTACAGAAAGACAAAATACTGTGTGGTTCCACCTATATAAGGTCCCTAGAGTGGTCAAATTCAGAGATAGAAAGTAAAATGGTGGTTGCCAGGGCCTGTGAGAGAACAGAGTTTCATTTGGGGAAGATGAAAATGTTCTGGAGATGACTGGTGATGATGGATGCACAACAATGTAAATGCAACAGCACTGAACTGTACACATAAAAATGGTTAAGATGGTTAATTTTATCTTATGTATATTTTTACTGCACACACACACACACACACACACACACACACACCTCTCAGGAACTTCTATAAATACTGATGTCCAGGTCCACTGGGACCAACCCAATTAGTATCTCTAGGTCAGACCCAGCCATCAGGGTTCTAGATAGTTTCCTAGGAGATTGCAATGCCAGGATTTAGACCCACTAGGCTGGACCTTCAAGCCAACAAGCAAAGCAAATGATCTAGGGGGTGGTCTAGAAGACAAAAACACTTGCTGTCCACTCTTTTGACCTTTGACCTCTGCTCTGTCCCTTTTGCCCCTTTCTTGGTCCCTGAAACAATGAACCACCCAGATCCCAGGGCTTACAGCACAGCCTTATTTTCCACTTTTGGCCAGGAACAGTGCACCGGATTCTCAGGGGGTGTGAGACACCTTCAGCTCCAAGGAGAAACAAATGTGAAAGAATTAACAAAATACAAATCACATTAAATAAATGTGTTACTTTAATCATTAGCAGGACAAAAGCAAGGAGTGTGTGCCACCTCATCTGTGGAGTGAGGGTTGGGGTCACATATTTACAAATGCTTTGCAAAAACAAAGTTCCTTCTCCTATTCATGGCCAGGTCCTGGATTACTGACCCTGACAGCATCTGATGCTCCCAAGACATTTCTGTGTCATCCCATTTGATGAATGTGTACCAAACACCTGCTCAGAACCAGCTGTGCTCAGAAGAACTGGGAAACGCCATGTCCCCAGCTTCCTAGGAGCTAATAGGCTGATGAGAGAAAGACAGGGGCATTTGCAGAAAGGAAAACTTGGAAGGACATATTTTAATGATTGAACTCTGTATAATCTGGACACTAAAAAAGAAACCTTTGCTGTGTTATACACTCGCCAAATGCCTTTGCTTCAGTCTCCCTGTTGTGAAGCAGAGCTGGGACTGGAATGAGGGCAAGATGGGCCCTTGCCTCACATGTAAAATTCAAGAGGGGCTGGTGGTGGCAAAAAATTCAGTTATCAAGATAAA